GGTGGTTTTAAATCATTAAGGTTGCTTGTGTAGTAAAATATGTCTGGATGATTAGGCATATTTTAAGCAGCAAGTAGTTTTGAACTTTGTGGAGTTAGGTGCTCTGCAGGCCCTCAATTCATGGTTTAAGACCTGGAGATAAAGCATGTCCTGGGCTACCAAGCAGTGAGAGGATAAATAAGTTTGCTCCTGAGATCTCAGCACCTCTTTTAACTCATATTCTCCTCCTGATGTTGCTGTGCTCTGTCCATTGTCTGTAAGTAAGCTGTTCTGTCGGTGTGAACTGTTTGAGTCCCCCAAATCCCTTCAGCAAGCAAAAACTTAAGGTGGTGATTGTGAAATTAGCGCGGGCTGCACAGGAGAGCCGCACCTCTGAATAACACACAGAGAGGACAGTGAAGCAGGAACCAGGCTGCGAGCTCCCACCATGTCCGGATTCTTCCTTTTCAAATTTCGCCCCGCTAGGGCTAAAACCATGCATTTCACAGCAGCATTACCCAGCCACTCCACGCTGCTGAGGAAACCACGTCCTGCGCCCTATGACTGACTTGTATTCAAGTCAAAAGCAAAGAGGTGACTGTGCATTGGTGAGGCCCACACAGAGGGAGGAGCCGCAGGTGGGCTAGACACTAAAGAAGAAGAACATGATTTACATTTAAATTTATAAAGCAACAAACGTGTACTGAGAAAAACTCACATATCAAAATGAATTCTTACAAAGTATTTGTCAACAAGGTTAATGGAAAGAATATCACTAGGACCTGGGAGCACCCCCTCGTGTTCCCTGTCAAGATCTGTCTCGCCTCGATAAGTACTAGTCTAACTTACTCACCAGGAACTAATTTGTTATAGATTCTAATAGAGCCTATTTATGGGGTTGTGAACCCTGTTATATTTTGTGTCTGCTTACTGTCACTCAGGAATATTTATATGAAATTAATCTATGTTGGTTTGTGTGGCAGTTGCTCCTACCTGCCTGTGTGCCTGTATACTATTCCATTCCATTGTCCATCAGAACTGATTTATACAAAATCCTGTTGATTCACATTAGTGTTGATTTTAGTTTAAGAGCTTAAGAATAATACCACTAAGAACATTGGGTATATATATTTAGTGCACATACATATTATTTCTGCTTGCTATATACCTGAGTGGAACCACGAGTCATGAAATATGCAAATGTTTTTCTTGGACAAAGTCTGACACTGGCTTCCAAGGTGCTTGTGCCAGTTGACATTTACATCAGCATTGCTTAGCATTCCTTTGGATTGTTTTTGCAAACACTTGGTATGGCTTTTTTTTTTCCATTTTAGTCATTCTGATGGTTGTGTCATGATATTACATTGCAGCTCTAAATTACATTTTTCTGAGTACTAATGATGTTGAGTGCCGTTTTATATGTTTATTGGCCAGTAAGATATTCTTCTTTTATGAAGTGTCCATTCAAGTGAATCTATTGCCTACATGCTATTAACTGTCTTTCTTACTGAACTAAGCTCAATTAAATTTAAGCAAGTTTGAACTGTATCCAGAAGAAGAGTTAGGCTTGGCCATGCCAGGTTTGTGATATTAATTAGATACTAAGGTGCAGACACCAAGAAAGCAAGTGGAATGTATGAGTTTAGAGATGAGGCTCTAAGTCAGTTTAGATGCTCTCAGACTGTNTTTGCTTTCGCAAATACTTGGTGTAGCAATTTTTTTTCCATTTTAGTCATTCTGATGGTTATGTCACAATATTATATGGCAGCTTTAATTTGCCTTTTTCTGTTCAGTACCTTTTCATATGTTTATTGGCCAGTAATGTATTTTCTTTTGGTGAAGTGCATATTCAAGTGAATCTATTGCCTACATAATATTCTATCAGTTGTCTTTCTTACTGAAATATGCTCAGTTAAATTTAGGCAAGTTAGAGACTGGGCCCAGATGAAGAGTTAGGCTTGGCCATGCCAGGTTTGTGATATTAATTAGATACACAGGTGTGGAGGCCAAGAAGGCAAGTAGGATGTATGAGTTTGGAGATGAGAAGGAGAAGTCAGTTGGAAGGTATCCATTTAGATGCTCTCAGACTATGGATGGATTGAAGTCATGGAACTAAAAAATATCAGCCATTGTAGGCTAACTCCCAAGGGTATTCCAACACTAAAAGGTTTGAAAAAGGAAATATCAGATGGGAGACTGCAAAGAAGTGGCTAGTGAGTTAAGAGAGAAATTGAGGTTGAAGAGGTTTAGGATTTCAAAAGAAGAGAAGTATGATAGTTCAAGCTTACCAAACAGCACTGAGAGGATGGGTAACATGAACACAATTTATCAAGATGGAAGTTGTCGATGACCTTGGAAAAATAAGTGGTTTCAGTAGGGACAAAAGCTTGATGGAATGACAGCAGGTTGATGAGAGGCTAATATATGAGATCATTGAAATGGCAATATGGATACCTCTATGATAATTGCCAGAGAGTAACCTAAAAAATTGTACTGTTAAAGATGGAATTTTTTCCTTAAATATGGAAGATATGATAGAATAAGATTGGTTTGCACCTGAGGTTTTGGAGAACACTGACGATGCAGGAAAGATGGAAGAATGGCTAGAGATGAATCACTGTGTAAACTGATGTGGACGGACTTGAGTGTACAGTGCAGGAGTTGGTAGAGGGATAATTCACAATGAAACAATTACTGGACAGTCAGAGACGATGAATATCAGAGCTTCCTGTCGGTCTTTGATTCTTGGGCATTACTAGCTGAAGCCACATAACCCAGCTCATTCTGACTGTGGTACTGGCTCTTGCTGCCGTGATATGTGTCAAGCCAGTAACACAGAGCAACAAGGGGCACTTATCATGCACAGTGCAGGGCACTAATCACGTTCAAACTTCAATAAAACCCTTTGAATTGGCTCTTATATAGATGTGGAAACTGAAGCTCCAAAAAATCAAGTAACTTTCAAAGCACGACTTAGCTGCTGTGTTGCAGAGCTGTGAATCAGATTTCACGTTTGAAACTTTTTTATAGAGTGACCATAAAATTTGACACCTGATGCTGGGTACTTTTGAGGGTGAAAAGCATAGGTCTAATGGTTTAACTGGGACTATGGGTACAAAGTCTTTCTATAGAAAACACAGCATATAATTATCTTTTCCCTCTACTTTTTGATATCTTTTAATAGTCGATTCAAAACATTCCATTGTTATTTTTAACAACAGTAATAATCTAGAATTAAGATTAAAGAGATCAATTATGCTGGGAAGATTATAATAAAGACAGGAAAACTCAATATGCATACAATATTAATTTATTGAAATGACTGTTTAGGAAACTAATAATAAGCACAATTCCAGAAACAATTTTAATACATATTATTGATATGGTTATGGCATTTCCAACTCAAAATTGAAATTTGTATGACTTTTTGAATTAGAATTTGGAAAATTGAGGTTAAGAGTCAAATTCAAATTAATATAAATATTATATAGTATATAAAATAAATAAGTACATTTTATTTTTTCCAGGTAGAATAATTTAAAAATTGTTAATTTTTTAAAAGCATGATATAAAGGTTGAAAAGATGCAAGATTTCCAGTCGCAGTCAATTCTATGGAATAGAGAACAAATATAGAATTAGTTATGTTTTATGATATAAGTATACATCTCTCTCCATTTGTAATAAAATTCATTAAAGAAATTTTATTACCAATGCATCATGTTGGGCCTTTCTTGCATATAAAATCTCCAAAAACCAAATAAATTTAACTTGGAATTGTTTTAGTGAAATATCTATTTTATCATAATCACTAAATAATTTGTATCTTAAGAATCTCAAATTTATATTCCTCCCCTTTTTAACTCTCACATGGGACTAAATAATTTTATTTTTACCCTTGATTAGAATACAATATGTATATTTTAAATGTGATAAAACTATTAAATATTATGGAGCCTAAGGTGAAAATGAGAATGCAACTTGATTTTTTAAAAAGCTCAGACATATTCACTTAAAAGTAAAATAAACTTTTCAGTTTTTTTCTAAAAATAATGATACTCAAGCATAAGAACATAGGGATTTGAAAATAAAACATTCAAACCTGTCAATAACACAATTATAATTAATGAAATACAATATATAATTTCAGGTGAGTACATAATACTCAACTGCTTTGATGCCCATGACCCATAGATAATTAATAACGAATTTTGTATATTGATGGAATTTACCACTATCCTGTGCTTATTCAGGACAATGTGTTGTAAAAATATATTAGCTATGAAAATAATCAATCTAATTTCCAGCTCTCAAAGCTTACCAAAATTGAAAGGCAAACATTATAGTTGAAATCCTCTTAAACCTTAAAGAAAATAATAAAAATAAATATTCACCTTTTGTCAAGAACATTTTTTCTAAAAATTCAGTGGTTGAAGGAGTGGATGGATGTGGAAGAGGGTAAGGGGGGATAAATGGTGATGGGAAAAAATAAATTAAAAAATTAAATAATGAATAAAAATTTGGTAATGAAATAAGCATCACAATTGTTTGCACTCACTGTACATATATAACAAACAAGATGTTCATTAATGCATGTAGAGAATAGATGTGCATGAGGAAATCTTCAAAACTAGAAAATATTAAAACTTCTCGATTCTACACTCAGACTTCCAAATTTAATTCTGACTTTAGTAGGTTTTCATCTTTTATATCTGCATTCTCAGCAGATCATTTAAATCAGAATCTCTGAAATAATTTCATCTCAATACTCAGTATCCTCTAGATAGAAAATTAGGATAATTATTTCTAAAACTCTGTGAGTAGTTCTAGGCACTGGGATTTTGGGGAACAAGTTTTATAGGTTATTTTATTGTGTAACTAGTGATGAGAATCCCTGATGTAAACTCTATGCATTAGGATATCCATTCAGTATTCATTTATTCTTTTATCTGGATCTCTCTCTCCTTCTGCTATCATAGACACATCATGCATGAAACAGCGGAGTTAGTAAATTAGGACTTACTTGTTGTAAGTTGTAAACTGGGGAAATAGGTTGAGTCCCAGGGGTGAATTCCCAGGTAGGGTCAACCAGAAGCTCCTGGTTCAGCAGAAGGGCTTGCATGGGCATAGCTCTCGGGGGGAAGGGCATAGCTCTCGGGGGGAAGGCCAGCACTTGCTGGGGAAGAGGCAGGGCTTTGGACTGAGGAAGGGAGACCATGGCCTGAGGAGGAAGCATGGGAGTCTGGAGCAGAGACCGGGGAGCTTGGGGCATGAAGGGCTGGAGCAGAGGCAGAGGGAGCTGTGAATTTTTGAGATCAGTGAGATCTGGGATTTGGGGCTCAAAAATTGGCATTCTTGGAAATTTAAGAAATGGCATCACATGCTCAGAAAAAACATTCTCCTTAGCATTGGGAACTTCCACGATTTCAGGCTGAGGGCCAGGCAGCACCACAGCGGGCTGAGCGACAGGCAGGGCGCTCTGCGGCAGGACAGGGTAAGGGATGGGCGCAGCGTAAGGGTAGAGAAGCGGCTGTGGCTGGACCAAGGCGTGCATTTTGTCCTGGTGCTCATCCTGGGAAAAAAGAAAACGAATATCTGTGTCCGTGATTCAGCTATAATTGTCATTCATGATGATTTAACCTGCTCTCTGGTGAAGAATCCTGAATGAAAGAGAGATACTTATGGATTTACTTATGCTGGTTGAGAAATTATTTGGGGCCATGTGAAGATGAGTTAAATACTCTTTGACGGACTCCTCATTAACCCACTCCCTTCATAGGAGGACCCAGATCAAACTGAAATCAGTGTTTGGGGATTTCAAGCCTGTTTCTGCTCTCCGACTTGCCCTCAATAGCTGTGGCTAGCGGTAGAGCTTGGTGTTCAGAGGGCATGAACTTTTCAACATAATGGGATAAAGCAGACCAAATTGTTTCCGTATAATGAAGGCTAATTTTAAAAAGACTTAGAGGAGTATTTCCA